GGAAAGAGTTAACGTGACTTTGGCTAACCTTTCCACTTCTGAAATGGCATAAGTTGAACCCTCTTTCTTTCCCTCTCTTACTTACTGTCCCAGGATATCGTTGAAGTGTGGATCTAGGTCTATGTGATACTTCTTCAGATACCCATACAGCTCATCTGTACCCAGAACCTTGGCAATGCGAACAAGCTGAAACACAAAACAAACTTGACCAAATCACTGAGCTCAGAACTCACTGCAAGCCAATGAGGATGCTGTACCAAGGAATTAGAGGACTTCACATCACTAAATCTCCAGGGACCAGATACAGAGCCGAGCCTGGAGCAGACAGGCAGCAGACCCAAACACACCAAGTTTAGACACATGCAGATTTCCAAACTGCCTTTAAAACAATAACACAACTTATGACAATAATCTTCTAGAAGCTGATGATTATGGGGGCATGACAATCTAATAGAGTCTAGTTTTATTAGACAAGGAGGTGCCTAACTTCATAGGCTCACTTTGGAAGTTGGGCATACGATAGCATTAAGAACCTGGTAACTGCAGACAAAATTTTGTGAAATTCTTTACCATGAAGAAAAGCTTATGTGAAGACGTTGAGTGATATTTAGTGGCTCGAGGACAGCACCCTATCAAGGGACACTCGCTATTTTCTTGGCATCTGCCCCCAAATGGCTATGAGCCAGAGGGTGTTTGCTCACCTGGTCGTAGTTGTCTTGTCCGTGGAAGAAGGGCTCCTTTCGAAAGATCATGCTCGCTAACATACAGCCCAAACTCCACATGTCCAAGCTATAGTCATACATCTGAGGAATGAAGGACAACCAGTCAGCCAAGGGTGTTACAAATGCATCTTTCTAATCTTTTAGATTAGAAAAAGAGAGCTAGCTGGGGAAAACCAGACATTGTCATTTAAAGCTGGGCTTTGAATTTATCTAAATAGACTAAACAAAAATCAGGAAAAAGGAAAACCCCTCAGGAATTATAAAAAGAGCCGAGAGGCGCTTGGCTAACAACTCTACCTGATAGTCCACGAGGAGCTCTGGTCCCTTGAAGTACCTGGAGGCTACGCGGACATTGTACTCCTGGGCAGGATGGTAGAACTCTGCCAGGCCCCAGTCTATCAGTCGCAGCTACAAATGTGACAGAAACAAAACATGTGAAAGGAGTGTTTCTAGATGCCTGTAACTTAGAGCAAGGCCATGTCACATTAGATAATTATCTGACCAAATAAAAAAATGTTAGCAAGTACACTGACTAAAACATCACAATTTCAGCAACTGCTGGAGAGGTCACCTCTAGAGCAGAGCACTCGGAATCTTATTTTCTGCTTCTTTTTTTAAAATTTAAACTATCTTGGCTTATCAGTCTCTCTAGATCAAGAGAACTAAGCTGTTAGCTTTCACTGTAAGCTCCAGGCATAACTGAAAAGGCTGGGAATACACGCCCCACTCCAGGACTGAAGCGCTGCTCTAGCTTTTCATTAACCTAACACTAGTTGATTCATTTACTCACCAATCAGGGACAACCATAATCGGATATTGAAAATAGGAGGGACCCAAGTACACTTTTAAGGCCAGGCAGACTGGTCTTAGGGGTCATCAAGCAGTAGAAACCATCGGCTGTAGTTTCTTTCTTGAGGCCCCCCAGAAAACCATGCCCGCAATAAACACCTGCTACATTCAGGGCAGCTGTCTACTTTCCTTGTATATTATGCTTATGCAAAGTAGAAACCAACACTGGAGACAGGAGAAATACCAGCATCACCAGTCTGCCAAAGAAACTAGCTTCAGTCTCCAGAAACCACCTCGGTACTGGCCAACGTGTTGTCTGCCCTAAGCCTTCCAATGAAAGGCTTGTTGTTGCCTGACTGTAATGGTACCTTTTTCTGTTGGTGATCTATCATGACATTGTGAGGTTTCACATCCCTGTGCATGATTCCCTTGCTGTGGCAGTAATCCAGAGCCTATTAGATAAGAAAGCACAGAGAAAAGTAAGCAAACCCTCTACCACCCCCCAGTGCAATCATATTTTTATTATTTGTTTGTGACAGCTTGACTTGAATACAGTCTCCCAATGGGCAGCTTACTCTCTGTAACGAAAGTGAAAAAACAGGCTTCAGAAGGCACCCCTTAATCTCTGTGCACACTATGCTGGCAGCTGGTAGACAGGGGGCTGTGGAGGGGACAGCAAAGGCTATGACAGAGGTTTCTTGAAAAGGGAGAAGGATGTGCTTCTTCAGGCTCATCTGTACCCCTCTCTCACTCACAGCTAGTAGCAACTTATTAGCCACATGGATTTAGAAATCATACATTCATCTGTTGGTCTAATTTAGTGTGTTTTAAAACCAGACCTAGGAGCCTCACTGGAGTCACCTTTCACAGTAGTTCAAATGACATGCAAGAGTCCATGTGGACACGAAGAATGACACCCAAATATATTTCAACATGACTTGTTTTTCAGATGCGTCTCAGGACAAGATTAGAGTTTCTCGGCCTCAGCACTGTTGCCATTTTGGACTGGGTAATTCCTTGTTGTGAGGAGCTGTCCTATGCACTACGGGATGTTAGCAGAATCCCTGGCCTCTACCTACTAGGTGCCAGTAGCACCCCTCCAACTGTGGCAAACCAAATATGGTTCCAGACATTGTCAACTGTCCCCTAGGGGACAAAGACTGACGTGGTTGAGAACAATGGACTAGACAGGCAAGGGTGCTGCACTGAGCATCTTTACGTGGGAGGGAGCACGTAAGCCAGAGAAGGATCCTTAGGATCGCCGTCCCAGGAAGAAGCAAAGTTTGCTTTCCCCAGACACAGGAGTATGTAGCGTCTGATGCTTTTTATATGAAGGTCAAGAACTGGCAAAACTAAAGCATGATGGTGGAGGTGAGAATATGAGAATCTTCAGAGGAGGGGATCCTGGAGAAAAGGGATCCAAGAGCTCCTTTTAGGGTTTGCATGATATTCCCCACCAGCTCTGTCCAACAGAGCTTTCTGCATTGACAGAAAGTCTATATCTACAACGTCTGATATGGTAGCCACTAGCCCCACGAGGCCACTGAGCACCTGAAATATGACTCGTGTGACTAAGGAACCGAAGTTTTCATTTTTCTTAATTTAAACACCTACCTACCTGCAGGCAGTAGCTACCGTACTGGACAGCATAGTCCTGTGTAGATTTGGGTAAAGGTTTTACTTATGTAAAATCCAAAAACTGTACACTTAAAATTTATTCATTTCATTTACGTAGGTTCTACTTCAATCTAATTTTCTCTGTTTTATTTTACAACAGTTGTAGCAAGATTCCACAGTGGCTTTGTGGCAGTGCCTTATGAAACCAGGGCTTCTGAGGACACCCCTCCCTCATTCTGAATCAGATCAGACTCTGCAACTCCGTGAGTCACTGAGCAATCACTGCAGCCTTCAACCTCACTTTCGTCTACATTTTCAATGAAGTTAAAATTTTCCTCTTCCTCATCCCTGCTTCTTCCTCCACAGAGAAAATCTAGCAACTGTTCATTCTGCTATTTTGCCTAGTCTTTGCCCAAAGGAAATTAGGACCATAACACCTGGGATGTGAAAAATACCTGACGAAAGCATAGGCCAAACAAATTCAGTTAAGGAATTAATTCTTTTGCCAAGTTCACTAGTCAGACTCCCTATGGAGTTGCTGACATGCTTTTAAATTCCTTGAGCAATTATTTCAGTTTTAAAATTTGGTTTCTGACCATGTTTTTCAAGTTTCATCTGGGATTCCATGACTCATTAGCAGGAAGTACACCCTCACCACCTGGCTGTTACGTCTAGGAAACGAAGGACATCGGACGCCAAGTGCCTGTGAAGACCCGTGTCACTGGGATGTCTTTACCTGATCTAGAACAACTGTGTTAGGTTCAAAACATTACCTTTGGGGTGCTAGTCTGCCACGAAAACCTTAATATCTTACTTTAAAAAAATAACCAATTGTGGGACTGGGATTGCAGCTCTCACGGGGTGACTGCATGGGCTTCTCTGAAAAGCACCTCCAGGAAGGGGCAAACCTGAAGTTCACAGATCCTAGCACTGCAAATCTCTTCCCCGCCGAGGCCTTCAATTCTAGTCTGGAGATGACACAGGAAAAAGGGGGATAAACCAAGCTCTACTTTCTTCACCTTTCTGATCTTACTGACAAAAGAAAAGACCCACTAGACAAAAGAGTAAACCCTTAATTCCACCTTGCCTCTAATGACTGGTTTGTGCAAGGGCTTGAAGAAAATACAGTCACTTCGTTCACAGAGCTAGTCCTTCAAATCCCTATTCTCTAAAGCTTAGCCTTAATTTAACTTGGTATTTTGTTCAAGCAACTGTTTGTAATCCCACTGAAACTCCACCTTGGCAATTTTCTTCAATAATGCCAATACCTTAGTCACCTCTATATTCTTTCGGTGGTTCTTAAATTGAGACCCACCCCCTCAAACAAACAAACAAACAAATTTTATGTCATACTGTGTCATTTATACATGCATTTTGGGGATGAGTCCATAGCTTTCATTAGATTTTTAGTGACCCTAAAATAACTTAGGAACCACTGATATCTATTCCATTCTACAAACCTTTTTAGAATTCTTTACCTAAGGATTAATCTAGACAAGGTAAAAAGATTGATTCCTCCATCAATCAGTAATGCTGGAAAATTTTAGTCTTGTGATTAGTAAGTCTCCTAGAAGGTCTACCCATCACCTCTTCCTGTGTGTCAAATTAACTAGCCAGGGATCGAGGTGTAGGCTAAAGGCTACGAGAAGAGGATTAGAAATGACAATGAAAAGATGGCCATGAATGCCTATCATCCCTGTACGCATGTCCCTCCACAATGTGACTTCGATGCTCTGCCCATTAAGAGATGGGGTCTACTTTTCCACCCTCTGAATCTAGCCTTGACCATGTGACTTGCTCTGGCCAACAAGACATTAGCAAACATGCCACGAGCAGAGCCTTAAAGTGTTTACCCACCCAGGTTTACCCTCTCGCTGCTAGGAACCTCGAGACCACATGGGAGGACGCCCAGACTAACCCCCTGAAGGGTGAGACCTCAGCTATTCCAGCTGTACCCCAGACATGTGAACGAGGCCATCTTGGGCCACCCTGACCAACTTGCCCCAGTCAAGATAACTCAGACCAAAAGACTCACTCAGATAACTCATGGAATTATAGAAATAAAAAATCATTTTTTAAGTCATTAAGTTTGGATGATTTGTTATGCAGTGAAAACTCACAGTAAGTTTCAATTAAGCAGCAAAAAAAAAACCCCTGCAAGGGCCAACAAGCGCTAGGAAGAGGGAAGTTCTAATCTTTGGCATGATGTCCCTGGTATCCCGTGACTTGGCCATCTTTCTCGGTTCCACCATAAAGATCCCACAATGGAGGCCTCAATATAAGTAAAACAAAAGAAAACAACAAAACCCAAAAAACAAACCTCACTGAATTCTCTGGGTATCAAGAAATATTCTGTTGGAATTCTCTATGTCCTTTCAAAAACTTCTCTTTTAATGAATAAGCCTGAAAAAATTCACTGTTTATGAATGCCACTTACTTTAAGTAGTTCATACATATAAAACCGGATATCAAAGTCTGTCAGGATCTGGTAAAGTTGCTGAAACAGATTTCAGAAAACAAAGTTAATTTAGTCTCACTGCATCCTGTCACCCCAAAGGATGGTCATTATTCTCTGTAAACTTAGCGCTTAAGTCACTAAAGAATCCCAGAACTGTTACTACCCGATCCGCAACAAATGGGGACAAAGACTAAAGATGTGAGTCTAATACTTTAGTCTTTACAAAGGAAAAAGAAGGAATTCCAGGGGAGAAAAACAGGTAAGCCAACTTGGATCTTTCCCAGGTGGTAAAACAGTCGCAAGATAGTCTGCTCATGAGAGAAATATGAAGAAAATGAGGTACTATAGCATTCGGAGATGGCAAGAGACTTTTAAAAAATCTATTCCTACACTCCTTCAAAATCAGTTCCAGGCTGGGAAAAAAATACTATTTCACAGGCAATATGGATGGGAACTAAAGAAGTAAAATGTTTTAGGCAGAAGAAAAATGGGGTGGTGGCGTACAATGTTAAAAAAAAAGAATAAAGAAAGAGACAGGTACTGAAAATGATGCCAAGCCAAACTGACATACAAATAAAGTTTTCATTACTGATAATCCAAAGACCCACCCACTGGGAGATTTTTTAAAATTTCAATTTCTAAGAGGCAAAATAGCATTCATGTATCCAGGTTCATTAAAACCACAAACCCTCAGCAGACACTATTATTATTATTTTTGATAATTCCAAGTGAATCTCTTTCCCCATCAGCCCAAGCAGCACTCTCTATAAAACTAATGGGCACGCCTTCATTAAAGACATTTTGTTTCTCCCTTTACTGGAAGACTCAAGCAATGTGGGGAGTATCTCCAAGGAGCAGAGGACACCGTGTACCACGTGTCTGTGTAAAACAGGGGAGGGGTGTAAAATCACACATGTGCATTTGTATCTGCAAGAATAAGATTACTAAAAAGTAATTTCATACAGACTGGGGGGGGGGCGGCGGTGGACAATTGAGCACAGAGGAATAAAGGAGTCTTTTCACTGGGTAACATTTTATATTTTAGATCATGTAAATATATTACCCATTCAAAAATTTTTTAAGGAAAACAACAAATTTGCCAAAAAACAAATTTAACATTTTCTAAGAATACCAGGACTTAGCTTCTTTCTCAAATGTCCACTTTTAAATACGTGTAATTCTCCCTCCACTTAGTAAGACTATCTGATTTCATCAAGCTCAGCAGTGGCCAGCTCAGGGCACCACAGGGAATAAAAACACACATTCCAGGAGATGCTGCTGGCAGTGCCCTGGAGCTGCTCCTCGGCTGGAGGTGACCTGGGTTGGGAATGAACCACATTCAGGACAATGGTACGCAGCTCAGGAGAGATTCACCTGGGTAACAGCCGAACGCCGAGGATTTTGTTCTCCCCCGGCACACCCCGACCTGTACATGCAGACCCCGGCGAGAGACACCATCTCTTTGGGTGTCAAATCAGCAACTTCTCTGAGAGTTGAGGAGCTTGCTCCCAGAGACGATGCCCAGTTGAACCTCAAGTCAATAAACAGGCCATGAACGTGCAAAAAGCATTTCTAACCTCAGAGGGCAGGACTATTTTCTTTCCAGAAAACAAATACGGGCTAATTTATTATGCGGACTTTGATCTGCAGAAGGCTCTCCTCTCATATCACGCAGTATCTGTAAAGTGTCTGTATAAATGATCTAAGACATAAACATAAATATCCTCAGACTGCTAACATAGGATTTCTAGCTACTCCAACTAACATCAATTTTATACAGTACAAAAAACTAGTTAAATACAGCGGTTAGGCCTATAATACATTGTCAGCCTGAAGGACAGGCTGACACCCACTCTCATTGCTCAGGAGGGGCGCAAACCACATCCGAAATATTCTGCTACCTGGGCTGACCTTCGAACTCCCCAGGGCCCGTAGGGTGGCTTCCTTCAACCTCTGCGGCTGCCTCCAGTGCAGCCCCCAGGAATCCCCGACTCTGACAGAATACCCTGCCAGCTTCCTGCTCTGAACCTGCAAGCAGTTTACTGTCCTCTGCAGTGTTCACAGGACACTGACAGCAGCAGGGTCCCCAGAGCTGACACTCCTCACTCAGGCGCTGGCAGCGACCTGAAGTTCTCAAGATAATTTCTCACTCTGTTGTGAATAAGAGGCTGCTGCCCTTGGCTCACATCCCAGAGTCCCATGTCACCGTCCCTGCGTCTCGTGGCACACATATGACGGGAGAAACTGATGCTGTGGCTGGCGGTAGTCACCAATTTAGTGGTTCAAGATCTCTGAACTTCCTCTCCCCCAAGTATTGTCAAGGGTCACACACACAACTGGGTCCACATTCTAAGTCCTCACGTAAGTACTTTAAATGCCTATACACCACGCACCAAGTATGGTGGTTCTCTGCCTGCACACCGAAGTCAGCTGAAAAAGATTTCTCTTTGATGATGCTCTACAGTCAACGGAACAAAATAAAACTGTCTTCCAAGAAAGAGAAGTACTGAGTCCAAGACAAATCAGAAAGGAAAACTTCACAAGAACCATACTTTTCCTTCATTCTTCTCAGCCAGATATGTGGAGAACACCATTAACCAACCAAACCGCAAAATGCTGGCAGGAAGTTAGCTTTGCTTACATTTTCGTAGAGTAAGTGACTTATCAAAAACAAAACAAGCCTACACTTCCCGAAAGGTGACCAAGGTGCTGAGGAAGAAACTATTCACCATCCTACCTCGGTTCCAAGGACTCAAGCACGCTGGCATCTCCCTAGAAATCAGTTCTACTCCGGGCTCATGCAAAGGGCCCAAGGTGGAAACTGCCTGAGACTTTTACTTAATCCCAGAAAGTCTGAAGGGTAGAATGCAATTTGATCAACAAACTCAGGGCCTCATTAGTCTACAAACACCACTCAGGAAGGAAGGGCCACAAGTGGGCCTCACTCCTACTGTTACATAGGACAGTTCTCCAGACTCCAGCTGTGGTCCAGCTACCAAGGCCCTGTCTCCAATGTTGCTATTTAGGAGGATCTCACACTTTAGGAAGGTCCCTAGCCAGACGTGGGAATCCCCGCTGCAGCAACACTCTGCACACAGAGCTCGTACACTCCCTGACAGACGCAGCTCAGCCCAAGCCCAGAAACCCTGGTGGTCCTCAGAGGAGAAAAAGTGGAAGGAGTGAGATGTAAGGTGGAAGTGAAACATGTTTAATGCAGTTTTGGCACCGTTAATACGTAACCCCAAGATCCAGAATAAAACCAAGGTCGATATTTTTAGAAATTTAAGGACAGAACAAATCATGAACTAAGCAAAATCAAAAATCAGCTGAAAATGTCTTATAAAGATATGACAAAATAATGCCAACAATCTATAAGAAAAGTAAATTTTTCCCAATTAAAGAGACTATATTGAATTTAGTCTGTGAACCATCCTTTCCACGTGAAACTAACAGCATTAACAAGGCCCACCTCTACGTGAGCGATTTAGAAATTCTCCAAATATCAACACAGGTCCACTGTCTTCTCAAGATGAAGCCCATGTGAAATGTCTTATGAATCTTTAAAATGTCCAAATAACATGTTTTACTTAAAACATACAGTCACTTTTATTTGTACTCTTGCAAATACACAGAAAGCTGAGAAGCATAATACGTTACAAAGAAACTATTTCTACCTCAAGAAGGTACCTCAGTTCCTTGAGACAATTCTGAGTTGGGGAGTTTTCTATAGCTATTCCCTCTAACTTGTAGAGACTGGATTTTCCTATTCATTTGCTTTGAAGTTTTGTCTTTTGTTCTAAGTATCGCCATGTAACTTTTATTATCACTTTGACATATATAAAACTTCATAACTGATGATTTCAATGAAAAATTGACCAAACCAGTACCTCTAACATAAAATGAAATATCAAAGGAAAAAAATGAGTAAGGCCATAGAAGATCTGAACTAAATTAACAAACAATATAAAAAAAAAAAATGACCATGTACTAAAGTCACAAAGCATCAATCATCAACAAATTCCAAATAATCAACATTATATATAGATCGTGTTCTCTGGACACAGTACAATCAAATTAGAAATCAACAATAAAAGAATATTCTTTTAAAAAACCAAATGGACCGTGGATCACATATTCACAAACATACAGCTAATGAAGAACATTCTAAGGATGTTAATTACTGGGAAACTTTTTAGTATGGACTCTATACTGTCTATTAGATGGCATTATGGTATAAATATTAAACTTCTTAAGTGTACTAATAGTATTGTAGTTATGTGGGAAAATGTCCTACCTAGTGCCAATGCTATTTAGGAGTGAAGTACCATGATGCCTGCAATTTACTTTAAGATGACTTCAGCAGAAAGATAGCGAAAGATAAAGAGAGGAATGTGGGGGTGATAAAAAGAAATAACTGCAACTATGACAAAAGATGAACCACCGGTAAATCTGCCTAAATAATATAAGGGTACTGACCATGCTCCTCTTTCCAATTTTCAGTAAGTTTAAAATTTTTCAAAGTATAAAGTTCGGGGAGGGGAAAAAGCCAAATCCACAAGTTTGGAATTTGTACGTTTACTTTGAAGAGGAGACAGAAGTGAGTGAGTTCCATGACCAGGAAATGAAGCTTTGATGGTGCTTGGAGTCGTACAAACTTACTGCCAATCAAGAAAGATGGAAAGAAATGAAACAAGTTGATTCGACTCAAGAAGTTAAAAGGGAAAAACAGTGAAAACCCAAGAAAGAACAGAATTAAGAAGGAAATCATAAATAAATAATGAAAGATAGAAGCAGAAACAGAATGACATAGAAAAATGAACAAAAACATCTGAGCAATAAAACCAAAGCTGGTCCCTTGAAAGTATGAATAAAAGATCTCTAGCAACACTGATTCGAGAGAGAGAGGAAAGGGAGTGAAGGTACGAATAATGTTGAGCGTACAGCATAATTAGACGCACTGAGGTTCTTCAGTACTGAGAATCCTATCAACAACTTTATGTGAATAAAATTAAAAGCAGGCAACTTTAAAAACAGGTATTACCCAAATAGCCTGAAGAAAAGATAAAATTCCAGAATAAACTATTAACCTATGGGATGTCTTAAAAAGCAAAGTGTAAACCAAAGTCTCCCTTTTACCCCCAAAAACACATCCACCTAGATAATCCTGATTTTATATAACTTGAATAGAAGAGAAAAAGCTACTTGACTTACTGTATGAAGTTAGTAAAACATTAATACCAAAATCAGAAGAACTCTACAATAGGAAATTACAGATCAAAATTTATTATCAACTGTATTAATTAAAAAATACTGAAAAGAATGGGCTGCAGGCTGAATTACTGTTGATGTACCCCTGATATTAAACCAAGGACAAACTTCCTCTAGGTGATATCTTAAAATCAGTTATTAATACACTTAACAGTAAAATGAAAAAAATTAAACTTTCCTAATAAGATGGACACGGGACAAAATAAAAAGCCTGAAGCATACTAGGACAATAAACCACTGGTTTCCCTGTTTGTGGCCTCTTATACTAAGTGGAAAAGAAAATAATTTTCCTGTCATGATTTGCTCTTCCAAAATAATCATCTGTCGCCTGATATTTAATGAATGACCTGTTAAGCTGACTAAAGTGACATGACCTGAACATTCAAAAGGGACCCCCAGTTTAACATGGCAGATCAAATGCATCCTACCTCTGCTTCTTCCCAAAGCACCTCTATAAAATAATAGTCAAAGGAGCAGGAGGGGGATTAACTCACGACTAGGAGACTGTAGAGAATAGAAGAGACAAAAACATTTGGAGGCTAGAAAACAGATGTCCAGCTGACTTAGCAGACAAAAAAAGCTGAAAATTCTGGCAACAGTGGAAGGGGTCCAGAAACGACTTCAAACTGAAGAACTACCGGAGAGCTCAGGAATCGGCGACCCCAAGTACCAATGGAAGAGGGTGAACAGAATGAAAACAGGAAAACAGCACCAAGAAAAGGGGGAGTTAAGTGAAAGTCTACATGATGCTCCCCACAGCTCTCGACTTGTGGCCAAGGTGCCAGCAGCTGGGCTCACACCCTCGAGACAGGAGCCGACGATCAGTCATCAGTAATTTCATTACTCTGAGTATGAGCAGACATTCAACAACCATGACATTTCAGATAAATGTTAAAGAGAACAAAAATAAAAACACACCAAAAAAGGAGTTTGGAAGAAAAGCAGAAAAAAGGCATGAAGAAGAAAACATAATGGGGGAAAAAAATACATTCTCAGTGAGGAAATAGAAGATATTACATAAAACATAGAACAGGATACTATTTTTAAAAGTTCAGAGGACAAAACAGACCTTTAAGATATGAAGTCTAACATCCGACTGAGTTCTAGAAAGCGAGAACAAAGAAAGAGAAGAAAATCAAAGAACATTAAAAATATTTTTCCAAAACGGAAGGACATGAATTTCTAGACTGAAAAAATCCAGTATCCAGAACAAAAGATGAAAGCAACCCATATGAAAGTGTGTCACTGTGAAATTTCAGAGTCTGAGAGTGAAAAGAAAATTCTAAAAGCTTTTAGAAGAAAAAACAAAAACAAAAGCCAGATCACATACAATGAAACCAGAATGGCCTCAATGGTAAGAGTGGAACAATCTCTTTGAAACTCTGAGGAAATTACTAAAGCTGTTTTCAGATACATATGCAACCCTCGAAAAACATTAATTTCCAATGATCCTTTTAAAGAAAACTCCTAGGGCATGTAAGCCATCAAAATATCCCCTTTTTAAGAAGCAGGATTTCTCTAGGGCATTAAAAACTGACCTTCTGTATGTTGTTAAGTCAACCAAGCAACGGTCAACTTAAGAAACACAAAATGCTGAAGTGAAATTTTACATGTGTGGCTGGAAAATAGGTAAAAATTCATTAAAGAAGCAGAGGCGTTTAAAACCGAGGGAGATTTTACTATGAAGTTCCAAGAAGACCATGAAACTTTTGTGTTAGGAAAATGTTTAGCTTCATTAAAGCCTGTCTATTTCTGAAGAAACACACACACATATATACCTTGATAAACCTGATTAATTCATAGAAAAAGTGAGGTCAGCTACATATATCAGCACAGTAATCTACCAGCTAAGCACTGCTATTGTAGTTAATAAAAAAAAATGTGCATCCCACTTTATTGAGAGTTCACTACTGGTTTTACCTTTAAGGAGGAAACCTGTTACATATGGGGAATGATACACTGTACATAAAATCTGCCTTTTGTTTTATGAGTCATAATACCCTCCTTTGCTTATTTTTCACTAACCTTATTTTAGAGTCATTTTAGAGTACCTAACGAAAATTAAATGTGAGGATAGGTTATCTTTAGGCAAAAGCATCACTCCTGACACAGTATATTTCAATTGCTGATTTGGTTTTGACCCTAACTTCCATTGCAACATAATCACAAGCCTTTTATTTACTGACATAGTTGTAATCGCATAAAAGTTCTCTAAATGTCCCTAAAAATCAACACCACTTTTGATTTAAAAAATTTTTTTCTTCTTATATGGGTTTTCATACTGTGTTCTACCATGTCTGGTATGCCTGGTCCCAAAACCTTATCACGGGTTAAAGATTTTGGCGTTTGAAAAACAATAAAAACAAATTCATGAAAAACCACCTTAAGATCATCCATGTAAAGGGGGTCAAATACACGGGGTAGGTAAAGTGGGTAAAGGGGATCAAACATATGGTAGCTGAAGGCAACTGGACTTTAGGTGGTAAACACACAATAGCATATACAGATGTCAAATGATAATGTACACCTGAAAATTATGTAATTGTATTAACCAGTTACCGCAGTAAACTTAATTTTTAAAAAGAAAAAAAAAAGATCATGTTTTTAGAACACTCCAAAGTCTAAATGAATATGTACAACAAATATAAGAAACGTAAATAACCCAGGGTAGGGCTTTTCTGTATCATTTGCTTTGTATACAGTGTGCATGAACACAAACTACCTGAGAGTTTGAATCTCATGTATTGCTTCCTTTCACATGAGCTCTGTTATCTGTTTCTCACGCCTTATCAGCAATGTAAAACTCTATGGAAATCAAAGTTAACATCCACCTAGGTCTATGCTGTCTACAACAGGAGTGTTACAGATGAGGCATTAGCTCAGACCCAGCCCAGCAGCCAGTCCCAGAGTAAGCAAGGCTAAGAAAGGTTGATGAGCAATTACATCAAGTGCAAAAACCCTAACTACTCTGCATGCTGTACTCGTGCTACGAGGTATCCGATGTGTTAAATTCCTACTCTCACCAATGACCTTCCTGGGTCCCCTTGTGTTCTAGATCATCAACAGTACTTATCACCACCTCCCCAACCCCCATTAACCATACACTAGGGGAAAAAAAAGTATATACATACCTTAAAATCTGTATTATTGATATATTCAAATACCAAAGCTGGTGTCTTTGACTGCAAGAGAGAACACAAATATTTTAAGTATTCAAATAATAAACATAATTTGCTTCTGTCACACTGGCCCACCCTTAAATTCCACTTAGATGAAAAAGATTCACTCATGGAGAGCCTATTAAGTATCCTCCTGAAATTTTATGATGTCTGTGATTTGCTTCAAAATAACGAGATGGTGGGCAGTGGGGAAGGAAGTTGGCCACCAGCTGATTACTGCTAAAGTTGGGGTGCTAGGAGCTTCACTGTATTATTCACTTTACTTCTATAAATGGTTGAAATTTTTCAAAACGAAGTTGTTGTTGTTTTTTTAAAGAGATGTATTCCCTGACCAACCTATGCAGCAGGTCTGACACATTATGTAGAGATTTATATTCTGCAGTGTTCCAGTTTGCCAGCTAAAAAAGGAATAACAGCCTTTTATCCTGGTTCAGCGAGCCAGATGCATTTTACAGTATTATCACAGGTCCTGTGACTCTATCATAGGTCTTTTTAGGATCCAAAAGTAAAATATATATGATTAGCAGTAAGCTATAATGTGAAATTATTGCCTTGGCTAGAGACCATTATAGAATGTCTCACCTTACAGAGTAGACGTGTGCCCCCAAAATCATATATAATCAAGTATTTTTAAAGCGCTATAGTTTTTAATGCAATTACTACAAAAGAGTCAACATTCCCTTGCGTAAGTACACATTTTCCAAAGTCAAGTTTACTTAAGTGAGGTAAAATAATGCTAACTGGCAGTAATAAGCTTTCAAAACTGGGAGAAAAGCAGGGGCTTAAAAGTTTATAAAGAAAAAATCATCTTGGAAATCTTTATGGCTGGAGTTTTGGTGAAAGAAGCAGGTGAGTTATCGAGGAGACAGGCCACAGTGCATGCACACAGGCCTCTGCCAGGATGCGCGGCAGCCCCGGCAGCAGCCCTGGTCAAAGGGTCCCGCACCAGCCGGAGGTGGAAAGGTTTCACGGAGGCCATCAGGCCTCTCTACAGGTTGAGAGCAAGCGTGTGTCTCTACAAGTCAGGGGATGAGGGTTCCCTGTTGGTTTTCTTCCACTTCAACTTGTTATGTACCATGTAAAACACACACAAAGTAACAAATTACAAGAACAGTAGGAGAGCTAACACTAAATTTAGTTAAACACTGTAAAATCAATCTGAGCTGATCAGAGTGGCATATACTTTTAATGCCAATCAGATAGAACCTAGCATTTAAGCATACACCCATCCTTCCTTCTCAGTCTTTTTAGGGTCCAAAATAAAATACTTTCCTCATTCTTCAGTTCAAAACACTGTCTAATCTTAGGCAAATTACTTAAACTCTGCAGACTTCAGTTTTCTTATCTATACAACGTTAAAAAGCAGATAATAACAGTATCTACCCCACTGGATCGTTCTGAGGATTGAATGATGTGACACACTCAGAATAGTGCATGGCACATAGTAACTGCTCAATATAAGTTAGCTACCACATTATCATGAGGATATCTTAGCAAAGAGAAGCAAAGACCTACTTCTTAAACAAAAGCTGTCACAGGAAAACAAGGAAATGTATGAGGTACAACAGGTGAGGAACAGAAATGGAATAACGGTATAAAAGTGGTAGAAAAAACCTTGGCTAATCATAACCGCTTACGGTTAAGTTACTCCCTGGACAGAGAACAAAAAATAAAGAGCACATCTAAAATGGCCAAAAATTAAGCATTGTTAACAAAAATATTTCAGTTGTATCGGCATATACAATGTGAACCCTAATGGTGAATGCTGAATTAAAGATGAGTATGAGAAGCAGCAAGGTCGCTTCCTCAAGGCCTGTGAGGCCGTGACTTGCCCGGCTCCCTATTCCAGGTGTCCATACGGAGATATTTGGTATTTCCCTCTAAAACCCAGATTTTCAAATGTCAGGCTAACTTAAGTGAGGTAAACTAATGCTAACTGGTAGTAATAAGCTTCAAAACTGAGAGAAAAGCAGCGGCTCAAAGGAGATATTCAGCAAACGTTTGTGAGTTGAATCAAATAACGAGGCATTTAAACCTGAGACAAGGATTTTGCCATATATATTTTTAGGTTCTGTAGAAGTGGTGGTGGCTGTTTTCTCATTGGACCACCATGATTTTTTTCTGGTGTAAATCATTCAGCAGTAAAAATAAACACAATCATTCGCAACACATAATGGTATTTCTCATTATTTTAGGTTCTGAGTCACAAACATACACTCACTCTCCCTCAACCATCAGGCACCTACCACAGGGTCCTTCACAGTGTCAATCAGCTTAATGATATTTGTTCCACCACGAAGGTTCTCCAGAATCTTAACCTCTCGTTTTATCTTCTTTTTCTTCACTGGCTTAAATACACAAGAGTAATCAGAAGTGAGACTCCCTTTGAATAAATGAAACTTTAAAACAGTGTTGGCTAATCAAATGGATATTGCACTATCTCATACACCATGTTAGATTAAAGAGCATGTCTAACTTAGAAAACAAAAAGATCGAGATAAAATGGGCCTGCCCATAAGAACTTATAAGATTAAATTAAATAATTTACAGACGTAGAACTTATGCGTTAGATCTTTAAGTAGTTGCATTTAGGGCACTTAGAAATTTTGAACACCCATGTCATACTTTAAAAATAAAATGCTTACTGGATAACTGCCAAATGGAAAATGTTATAGCTCTGAACAGCTCTATATCATGCATCTACAAATGGAAAAACTTCGACAAAATGGTGAGACACCTGCTCTTCCAATGAGTTAGTTACATGTAATTTTGTCTTCCAGGAATGAAGACCAGTTCACTGACATCAAGTTACAAACTTGTTTCCCAGCTGCTGGCTCCCATTTCCTGTCACCACTCCCATTTCCTTAATATCTAGAAACAAATCAGCACAGGGCCAGTAAAACTTCCCAACAGATCCCATTCCTATAGAAAGGTGATCAGCACAAGAGAAAACTGATCTCTGAAGCAGCAGTGATTGAAAACCTTGCTACCTGCTAACTTTTCAATCTGCTGGACAGAAAAATTAAAGACCTTAATCAGAAATACTAGCATAACATGTTATCATTTCTTATCTTAAATGAGCAAAAGAGTATCAAGAAAAAAATAAGCACATCATGATCAATTGTTTTATAAAGCACTTAGCACAGTAACTGGTACATAGAAAGCACTCAACAAATGTTAGCTTTATATTTTCAAATTTTTAGTAAAAAATCATACTTCATCCACACAAAATTCCTATGTAATAGAGTCAGCCAAGTGGAGCTATTTGCCCACAGTCGCACAGCTAATAGTAGAGCAGAGGCAGGAATCAAATCCAGACAGCCGGACTCTGCAGGCCCCACTCGTAGACACTATACTTTCATTTCCCACATGTCGCGACGTCACTAGTGTAACTAAGGAAAAGGAGTGTCCTGTCACATAGACACTGGTAAAACAGCAATGACAGAGAGATCGGTAGCTCTGCCATGAAACAAGATTTTAAAAGCCTGTGTCCATGTATGTGGTGGTGGTGGCTGGGGGGGCGGGGCAGTGTAAATACACATACGCCAGAGAAACCTGCCTCTGTCGCTGGTCACTAAGCTATACCTTTAAACACACAACAACACAAAGAGGGAAATTATGACACAGAGCGTTTACATCATCTACAACCAGGTATACAACTGGGAGACTGGAATCTAGCTGCATCCTTCCAAGCCAGCTGCCACCAACATGCCCACTCCACGCTGTCAGGGTCCCCAGCACAGCAGATCTGGCTACGGTGTCTCTTCCTCATCTCCATTTAGGAATGTTACTCCTCATTCCCTTTTTCATAATTAGGGAGGCTTGATACTTTGGAAAAATGAAGCACTCAAACATGAAGTACAACTTGATTAAAAAACAGCCAAAGAAGGACATACTACAAAATAAGGAGCCTGTAAGTTTCAAAAAAAAAAAAAAAAAGTCAACGCCACGAAATGCACATTGAACAACTGTTCCAATAAAAACAATACGACAACTGAATGGAACTCATGATCTGGGATTTTCTTCTATCCAAAGAACATTGTAGGGACAATTGGTGAATGCAGATGGGGACTGCAGATTCACTAATAGCATCATATCAGTGTTAATTTCTGATTTTTGGTCATGCTGCTGTGGGGTTATGTAAGAAATTGTCCTTGTTTTTAGGAAATACACACTAAAGTAGGAATGACTGCAATTTACTCTCAAGCAATTTAAAAAAAAACATGTAAAATAAATATAATTATATACGTATGTACATACAATATGTGTATGCATATGAAAAAACAAGAACACAAATGTTAACATTCGAGTAATCTGGGTAAAAGATAAGAACTGTTGCAACTTTTCTAAGCCTGAAATTATGTCAAAAAGTTCAAAGAAAAATAAAAGCTGGCTACCATATCTATAAAGTCAGCCAACGCTACCAGCATATTCAATGTAAAAAAATTCTAGAGTTGTCATCCACTACTGGAAAGCAATTACAGATCCGTAGGAGTGGTAACGGGAAAACAAAAAACAAAAACGAGAAAACCACCAGTCAGAGGCTTGTATACACACCAAAAGCCCTCCCTCTCCTCCCGACAGTGAATCAGCACAGGGGTAACCTATTAAATAAGTTGCTTTTACGACAATGCCTCATACAAAGCTTTGCTTTGCTCTCCTGTTATTCAGCAACAGGTCGGGCAGGGACATTGTTCCTGGACAAACCAGCTAACGTATTTTTCATTATGTCTAAAGGTAACTTACTGAGCAAGTAAAGCATATTTTGCTGCTCAACTGTCACCTGTTCAACAACTTCCCAAACAAGAGATAGAGGACAGGAGGGCAACAGAAGTGGCACAAGAGTCACACAGCAGCTGGAGCCCTAGCATGCTGTCAAAAGACCGAGAGAGACTATAAAAACGGAAAGTGACCTGTGGCCCGGGACATGCCCCTCCAAAGCACGGGCACCTATTCTCTAAAGGAACCAGGCTACAGGTAACTTCCTTTAGCCTCGACTTATTCCTCTGAAACTGGGAGGTGCTCCAGATGCTAAAAAACCAATGAGCTCCCAGGGAGTGAAAGTAATCAGTATAATCTTACAAACGGAACTGGTCAGAAAAGTTAGGCTTTATAACGGAGGACCACTGCACCCTAAGGAAAATTCAGATCATAAATTTTATAGAAACAAGGATACGCGGAACCTCTAATCCAGTGTTTGTACTCAACCACCACCAGTAACACAAAGAAGATACATACATTTTCCATGACAATCATGATTTCATCTCACGTGCCAGAAAAAGTCTCTCCCAACTAGGGTTCATTTCCTACAATTCAGAGATTATCTGTTTAAGATTCTAACTGAATCAGCTTAGCTGTTTTCCAACCACTCCACCATTTTTTTAATTCAAAGTCTAGTAGAGAAAATGGCAAAGAACTTAAAAAAAGAAATTAAATATTAAATCATGTTTCAAAATAAATGAATTTTGGCACAAATCTAAAGAAAATATTTAAAAGGAAAAAACTCATTTAAAATTTTCTGTGTCTTTTCATAAGGTTTCTGCCCACATGTAGAGTTCCAGCTATTCAGGAGAAATTTGTTCAATGTAATCCAAGAG